TCTTCAGGTTTTTTTTCATATTTGATTTCAGATTTATCTTCTTTTACTTCAAGTTCCTTTTCTTCAGTCTTAATTTCAACAATACAGTCTTCACTTCGACTTGTTGACGCAGACATCTTATTTATTTCTAATTTTAATCTTTAACTTAAACAGTCAATTATAGAATAATTATCGAGCAAAAATTTGTTGTATTTAAAACATTTTATGTTGCATGGAAAAATTATTTATTTACTATGGTTTATAAACAGAGCACAAAATTTTATTGTAAAATGCCGGAGGATTACAGCTGTTTTCATAATTTCTGAAACATCTGATAAAGAATTTGCCGTTTTAGTGATAAATTATTAATACAATAGAACAACGCTCATAAAATCGTGTTTATTAGCTTTAACACAATAGAACAACGATCATAAAATCGTGATTATTAACAATGACACAATAGAACAACGTTCATAAAATCGTGAAACGTCAATTTGCCAAATTTGCATTTGCCATTGATTATCTAATATTTACAAGAAACTTACACTTATTTACGGTAATCAGAAATGTCATGTGGACATTTGACAATTTGGACATTTGGACATTTAGAAAATGTCCAATTGTCCATATAATTTGATTGGAGGAGAACGTAAAAACATACTTAGATGGTCCGTTGCTGTGTCAGATAAATCAACTGACTTATCGGAATATAGATTATTAGCAATATCTTGCATCAATCTTAAAGACATAAAGTATTTTAAGGAAAATCTTATCAATATCCATCCAACGCAAATTCATAATAATGGATTTACTTTCATTTTTATTATTAATATTATTAATAATGCTTATTCCATTAGTGATATTAACGATAAGGAATTACCGATTAATTATGGTGGAATAGTTAAATTGTTTTCTAAAAAAGACTATATAAATAATCAAAGTGTTGAAAAAGATAAACAAAGAACGGACAAAAGAAGTCAAAATGCTGATGGACACATTCTTATTATATTAACACTTTCAGGGATTTATAAGTATCACATGAAAAATATATTTATTAATAACTTACAAAAGTTAAAGTATCCGAAAAGAATTTACAACGTCATCATTGATAATGTGAATTCTTCGATTACTATCTTTTACGATCCAGGGAACGTCACATATAATAAAATATACCATTATATTAAGCATTGTTTAAATAAAGAATATTTTTTGGTTCATACTATGAAAGAAGGCATCAAATATATGGAACTTTATGATTTAAGGACAAACCAGTTAGTAAATACCTTTCAAATGCAGAATTTATCCAAATCACTATATTTAGAATATCCTCCTCTCTACGCAATATCAACCAATGGTAAATTATTTGCATACGCATCGACATTGACTAAAGAAATTAAAATACATTCGACCGAAAGTGGCCTTGAACTAGTGAGAAAACCTGTAATGGATACTGTAGCCTCAACATTCCAGTTTATTAATTTTTTTCATAATGATGAAATGCTTCTTGTAATTTCAGAAAGTCAATGGTTTGTCTGGAATATTTTTGGTTCATTATTAGATACCGATAAATTAGAGAATTTAGGATTTATAATAGAACTTCCATTAAATTTTGGTGAAAATTTTGAAAAATTAGAACAATCAAATTCATTCATGGTCGTTGATAAGGGTGACAAACTAGCAATTTATGACGATTTGATCATAGATAAATATTTGCAATATTTAAAGAAAGTTGATGGGCAAAATTGGAAAAAATTATCAATTGATTATTTTTCGAGGCAAGATCTCGATAATAATATTATCCTAGATTTTCAGGGTAAGGAATCAAAATTAGATGAATATTATTATGTACTTGAACCTTGGTTACTTGACAAAGACAGAAAACATACACATTATTCATTCTATCTTGACGAGAAAGAAGAAAAACTTCTTTTAATTGGAAATCATACAATTCAAGTTTGGCACGATCAAGGGCTAGAAAAAAGGTCTCTTGAATTCATTCATGTTCCTTTATCTCACCTGCCCAACCATTATGAACAAGATATTAATGCGGCGCAAGTTTCTGAGCTCAAAGCTTTAAAAGTAATAGACATCAGTTATTGCAACGAAAAATTCAAACTTAGCATTCAAATTGATTATGAAGAATTTCGGAAACAAATCAAGATGGAAGATGGAAATGATATAATGAATGTAGTAATATATGCTTGTTATTCACTTAAATACTTATTTGGTTATGAAAAATTTGAATTGTATTTTGATGAACAAAAATTAGAATATAGAAATATCATTGAACAAACACGAAAAATAATATGGAGATTTATTAGATTGCATCCAACCGAATGGCGGTTGTTAGATATTAGATATGATTTGATGAGTGTCCTTATTGAAGCAAGAGATTATGAACTCGTAAACTACATTCTATCATTCGGTGAACCGCTTCATATACCACAATACTTTTCTTGGTCAGATGGAAAAAGTACAATTCGTACTGCCCTTTCAGGTTCGTATACTTAAATTATGCTGACTTCTTTAAATGTATCATATATGCTAATTATTAATCTATTATCAACTATCTGAAGATCGTACTATGCTAGCATATTTTTTGGAATATTATTCTAATCAAGCAGTTCATAATATTGGATGGATGAATACAGTTGTAGACATCATACCAGAATTATATGAAAGTAATAAAGAGAAGGGTGGAAAAGAAAAAGGTAATAAATTTTATAATGTAATAGATTGAAATCTGATTTATTATAAATTTTATCATATTACATTATTAATGCATAATTATATGAATCCTCACACATTAGAATCTTACGCATATTATGCTCAAAAATTATTTTACAAACCCTGCTTTTGTAATAAGGAATTGGATTTAGTTTCTTTTGAATTTCTTGAAATTTCTCCAAAGTCAAATAGCTTATTAAAAGTTTTTGTACCTATAACACAGTTGATTCCACAAGATTCAGAGTTGGATCTGCAAGAGATTGAGTATGAAAATAATGACTTGCTTAAAATCTATTGGTTAATCTATTATAATTAATTCAATTTCATTTTAAATTTGCCACAGCTATGATAAAATTGTTGATATTCGGATGGTTCCTTTAACAGATTTTACAACAAACAAAATAATATTGGATATAAGAGAAGGAAAGTCTACAAATTTTTTAAAGTTTTTGGTTTCTATTGTTTTTCCTAGTCAATATTCATCTCTTAAAGAGGAGGATTACAGTCCCTTTATTAAACTCATTGAAAAAGGTATCAAAAAAGATGGACACAATATTCGTGATATTTTATATGAAAACCCATCAATGGGAGCTTATTTATTCTTATCATGTATTTTTTAACCTATTCAATTATTTCTTGGGCATATATTGCTCATATTGAAATAACTGGTACACTTCAACGAATATTGTTAATTATAACTATTACATTGTTTTTTTATTCATCATATTATCAAATCATTGTTGAATTTAAACAATTTCATCGTAAAAGAATACAATATTATTTAGATCTTTTCAATTTGGTAGATCTTCTATCACTTATCATACCGATATTTATCCTTAGTTATATTTTAATTTGTTATTATACATTTGATGACGGTTTTAAAAATGCTGAAAGCAGTCAAATCTTG